CGGGCTTCCTGGAATCAGCCGCTGATCAGTTTCAGCAGCAGCTGACTTGGGGACACCTGGGGTCGAGCAGCTGGGGTGCTGCTGGTTGGTCCCCGCAGTGCCGAGGTGCGGCGCTGCGAGGACCTACCCGGCAGCGCCCCAGCTGCTGTGTCCCAGGTGTCCAGATTCAGCAAACCTACAGTTCCTATCTTGTACGTAACCCGGGGACTGCCTGTAATGTGTATTGATAATGAGGACTGTACTCACTTGTTTTCCACGTGAACTGAAGGTAGGATAAGAAATAATCCTCTTAATATACAGCAAGGTAGATTTAGGTTAGATAATAGGAAAAATTCTCTAGCTATAAAGATAGTTACGTACTGGAATAGGTTTCTGAATGAAGTTGTGGAATCCCCATCATGGGAGGTTTTTAAGGATATGTTGGACAAATATCTATCAGAGAGAGTTTATGCATATTTGGTTTTGCCTAAGTGCAAAGTGCTGGATTTGATGACCTCTTGAGGTCCCTTCTATATTTCTATGAGTCTGTGTGCTTGGCCAAAGATCAGAACAGTGTCCTCTGTCAGAGGATGCCACAGCTTTAGCCAATGCAAGGCATAGAGGAGAAGCAGCTTCAGCTACTAAAGTGGGGTTTGTCTACACTACAGCGTTAATTCGAACTAACTTAGTTCGAATTAGTTAATTCGAACTAAGCTAATTTGAATTTGCGCATCCAGACTTAAAAACTAGTTCGAGTTAGCATTTTCCTAATTCGAACTAGCATGTCCACACAGAGTGGAACCTGAACTGGGGTTAAAGACGGCCAGAAGCAGTGCCGGCAGGGCATCAGAGTAGGACTTAGAGCGTGGAGCTGCTGTCTCAGGCTAGCCGAGGGCTGTGCTTAAAGGGTCCCGACCCTTAACCCGGACAGACAGTTCTCAGGGGTGCCCCGCTTGCAAAGCAGTCCTGGCTTGGAGTGCCCTGAGTGCCCACACTCGGCACATCACAGCACTTGGCCATCAGCCCGGCTACACCTGCCGCAGGCTGCCATCCGGGGAGAGGGATCAATCGGGGGGCTGCAGGAGAGGTTCTACCCCGAGG